GGGGGGGGGAGAGAAAGAGAGGAAGGAAGGAGACGATCGTCATCCACTCGGCGTTGCTGTGGCAAAAGAATCGAGCGATCCCTTTTCGAGACGTCCGACGACGAATAATATCGCGATGCTCTCGGAGCCACGGCGAGCACAGTCGCGCACATACGAGGACTTTACCGAGCCCTATTTGTGTATTCGTGCAGTTAACACGAGCGCATAGATATTAAAAGCTTACGTAGCCTATAACCACGCATCGGCGCACGGCAACAACCAGGAGCTGGGAGGAGCGAGCAGAGGAAATAAATATTAATAACGGCTTTCTGCCTCCGTCTCTCTCTCTCTTTTTCCCCTCCCCCCTCTCTCTCTCTCTCTGTATCTCTCTGTCGTGCTCTCCCTCTCCTCGCACCCCTCTCCAACGTTCTATTCTCTATGTGTACCCCTCCTTTTCTTTCTCCCTTACCCTCCTCCTCCCCAGTGTCTCTCTCACTCTCTCACAATATGTCTATGCATTGTTAGGGCCATTACAGGAGCCAATTAATCTATGCACAATTTTATAATTAAACGGCTAATAGCGCATAGAATTATAGTCCAGGGCCGCGTGCACTCCCACGTATCCCGACTGTTATGCCAGGTATACTAAGCGCCGCGCTCGATAGGAAGAAGGAAGAATGGAGAAAAAGCGCGTCGCCGGCGCACGATGCTTTTTCCTTGTTTCCTCTTTGTCTCCCTCGTCGCGACCTCTTTTCGCCGATTCCCAATTAGAGGCACGATTCCGAATAGGCAGTTTGCGCGGAGAGGCGATCGCTCGTCCGACCGAGTTAGGCAAATTAATTAATATAATTGACTCGTCTCTCGTTAGCTATGCGCAACGACGGCCGCATTATTATTTCCTCGCCGATTATATCGTAGGGTCCGGATCCGACGGTGTACAACAGGATACGACGCGCGCACGTAATTATTGCAGTCGATTACTTTTCAGCCTGTAACAGGAATATCTGTCGGCGTTCTCGATCAGATAGCGGCCTCGTCTCGGACTCGCGTCCTCAGACGAGAGCTCGGACGTCTTCGAGGGAGAAAGAAGCGCATTTAAGGATGAACCACGCGGCGGTAACGATCCGCGCTCGTTACAACGTCGTCGACACGCGCGTCATTTCGCAAGGGATTCCTGCAGCTTCGCATTCGTCGCCGCTGTTGTTCCCTTTTTAACGTTATTATTACCGATCCGTGCGAAAGCGAGAGAGAAAGAAAGAGAGAGAGAGAGCACGAAATACAGGGCGTCCGGCTCTATATCTCCGGGCCGTCTGGACGGAACAACGCACCCGGCGCCGCGCTGTAAACCGCAAGAAAAATCCCCCTGAATTATCGGTGCGGTTCTGGGCGCATGCTGTTGCATCGACGGTAGAGCGGCGGGGTCGATGTGCAGTCGTAGGTGTGCATGCGCGCGTGCACGCCGTGTGTGGGTGGGCGTAAGTGTGTTCGGCTCGTAGATGTGTCTCGATGTGTACCCGTTGCCGCCGCTACCGTTGCCGTGCATTATCAGAATGTAACGACGCCAGCGGTACACGCGATCGGACCGCACAGGAAGCCCGTGTCGCAGCATCTCGATCATCCTATTTTTCGAAATCGTCCGTCCGCTCGCACTTTTCCCTCGAAATCGCGACTGAACGTGAAGGCACGGGAGAATTTTCTGTCGATGATCGCGAGGAGAGAAGACGCTTTCTCTTCCCTCGTCGTCATTCGTCGACCGAGTGCACCGAGCGCAGGCGGATTTTTGCGCTAAATGCGACGAACGTCGCACCGAGTGTGTTCTCGCTTGATATAATCGCGAGCCGCTTTCGTCATTGGAGAAACGGTTCGGAGGGAGAATTTCCGAGAGAATTATCTCGCGCGGTTCTTTCGACTCTAGTTGACTGTCGGATAAAGTTATCCGAGAGATAACTGCTCCCCTGTCGCTTTCTGGATCGCAGCGCTGCTGCTTGCAGCGGGAGACAGAGAGCTAAAATTATCTAATCTACGGACAGAGTTAATGCGATACCGAGGAAACCGGCTATTAATCGAGCTACAACACGGAGTTCGTGTCGCGGTGAGAAACAACCGCCGAGGGAGAGACCCGCACGAGCCGACGGCTCGCAGAGTTCTGTTCTGTGACTGCGACTCGGATTATTTGGATCCCTATCCCTACGAACTTCCTCCTTCTTCCTCCCGCGCTTGCTCTCTCCCTCTCTCTCCCGTCCCTCGGGATCCCTCGATTCCCTCTCGCTCTGTCCCTCTCTCCGTGTCGCGTTGAATCCGTTTCCGTTGTGACTGCCGCTGCGCGTCACCCGCTGAATAAGTATTGCCCATTTGCGGTGTTACGCGCGGTCTATCCCGAAGCCCGAGAGAGTTTCTCGCGCACTTGGCGACAATTGAACGTGCAACGCGATCGAATCGTCGCGAGCGTGAGACGGCCGAGCTGGCTCGTGGAAATGAGACTGACACAGCGGTGTGTTTTCACCATACAGAGGACACCGTGGAAGGACAACATTTTCCCTGACGACCTTAAATCCCCTCGTTCCGTTTACCATTCCGTTTCGTCTGTCGCCTACCGCGTGGGTGGGGTAAGAGAGCTTGTATAACCAAGCTCCTCTTCCTCTCGCCCTCTCTTTCTCTCCCTCGCCCGGGACGATTCATTCAGAGAAACTGCCGTGAAAGGGACACCTGTTGGCGCAGGGACTCGGTTGACAATCCTAGAAACGAGGAGCACGTGCCGCTGCCACGACTCGAATATCTTTCTTCAATCTATTTTCCTCTCTTTCCGTCTCTCCTTTTTTCCCCCCTCTCTCTCTCTCTGTTTCTATCTCGTTGCACCGGACAATCTCAACTTATTTCGATCTATCGTGAATATTATTTCAGAACAGGACGGAACTCTCGTTTTGACACAACCGGCCCGAATGCAAATAAAGCTATTCTCGAGACGGCATTCCTCTGAAACTGCAAAGCGCAATCTCTCGAGGCAATTTTGATGCATAAAGATCGCCGGTGAATCGCCTATGCGAAGAGGCCCGAGGGTCACCGGGAGCCGTTTTCGACGATGATCAAGTCTTAAGGAGCGGTAGGTGGTGCACAATTAAAGTACTTTTTGGCCGACTGGTAGCGCGAAACCGAGCTGAGGTACGAGGGCGAAGATAAAGTGCTGCCCAGCGGCGACACCGTGCGTTATTAATGTATGCGAGGATCGTAGCTTCCGTTCGTAGCGGGGTCGGCACGTCGACGCGCTCATACACACCGATCTGACTTCCGGACTCTGACGCTTCTTACGTTCGCTCGAGAAGAATTCGCGTCTTAGCCAATCGAAGGATCGACCGGTAGTCTACGTTGGATTCGCTTTTTTCAGAAATGTTCCGAACATGGCAACGGCATGATCGCCACGAGGCAATATCCAGGAACGTCAAACTGGTTTCATCGAAATTACCAGTCACGTTCTCAAACTACTCCTTCTCTTTCCGTTCGTTCTGCATACCGGCGATAGAATTTGGTTATCGCGAATTTTCCTCAAATCTATCCGTGAAGGCCGTGAGGACCGTTATCACGTACGTCACATACCTGGCCGTGGTGCAATCCCTGTAAAGAATGTCGAAGTCCTTGCAGCTGAGCAGCTTGCACCGATTGACGCCGGGTTGGATGGCTCCGAGGCCGCGTAGGATCCTAACTTGCTCGACGTTACACACCAACGGCACGATATCCAGCCGCTTGAGCTTCGTGTAGACCGTGTGAAGGCCACCCACGAGATGCTTGAGAAACAGCTCGAAGGCCTGCGGCAGACAGAGCATCGTGTCGCCGGCGATGATGAACGCCGCGACCTTCTGCCCGCGATAGTCGACCAGTTTGCACTCGTTCGCGGTGGGATCGCTGGTGCTGATCGGCGGTGGACTATTGTACGATCTCGGTGGCAGGACCGCGTGATGAGCCGCCATCAGCTCCAACGGCGAGCCATGGTGGCCACTCAGCATACCACCGAGCTGACCCAGCAGTCCCAAACCCGGCGGTGGCAATCCCGGCATACGAGGCACCATTCCCGGCGGTGCCCCGGGGCCTCCCCCGGCCGACAACGGCGGTGGACTCAGGGGTAGACCCTGCGGCGGTGAACCTCTGGTGGGCGATCCCGGTGTCGGCACACCGCGGTGCTGTTGCTGCTGCTGATGATCGCGTATCTGATCTCGCCCGTGCGACTGCTGATGCGAGGCCGGCGGTTGGTGCTGACCGCCGTGTAGTTGCTGCTGTTGCTGGCTCTGCTGCGTCGACGGGCTATGTGGGTGTTTCGGACTGCCGGTTACGGGACTGGCACGGCTGCTGTGATCGGAAGAGCTGTCCATCGCTCCGTGGTCCATGGAGGGTCGGAAACGCGCGTCCCTGTTCTTCCTGCGACTCGTAGAGACGATGGTCTGGCACGTTGCAGCCGCCAGCGATGCGTCCCGTGCCGTGCCTGAGACGTGGTCCAGGTCTGGCGAATATCGGTGCGGATTTCGCGTTCGAGCCGCGGCGACGCTTCAATGCATGTTTAACGCCGTTTCCTCCTCGGCGGGCCGCTGTCACCACGGCCGCTGATCTTGATGTCAGTCGCGATTACTACAACCGCGCCGTATTAGCGTCCTCCGAACGTACCTGTCACCACTAACGAATACCGCGGCTCTCGGTCGGACCGCACGATTTCTTCAGTCCTCACAAACACGTGAACCTTTGTGTCCATAACAAACCAGTCCACTACGCGAGTATCTTATTTTCACCGATCCATCGCGATGGCGTTTGCTCCCACCGATCGGCCGCAACAACGACGACGACCGCGTTCGACAACGACGGTGGCAACGTTGGTCGCGTGGAGGGCGACCACCCGTCGTCGCGCTCAACTCGTCAGCTCAAGGCGCAACTTGTTCACTGGTTTACGATGACGATGTCTTCACGTCACAACAAACGGAAACGAATCGCGACGACTACACCGAGCTCTGGCCGAGCGACAGACGCGTAAGCGCGAAGGAACCGTAACGTGCACCGAGATACGACTGTGGCAATGTCAGTGACGAGATGACAGCGAGGATAACTGCGACGACAACGATGACGACGACGACGACGACGGTGGCGGCGGCGACGGCGACGATGACGACGGAGGCGGCTGCCGCGGTAACTCGCAGGGACGCGCGTCGCTCGTTCTCAAAGTAGCAAACGCTCTCTCGGTCGAGTCGGGAGTATTTCCCTACCCAGTCACAGATGTAATAAATAAAAACATCAGTAGGAGCCCGACAAACGGGGAGGATGGGCGTTCTGTGCGCGCAACCGACTATCCGGTTGGCGGAGCCACCGGGGCGGCTGTTCTCGCTATTGGACGGCAGGCTCGTACTGTCTACGCCTTTCGAACCTTCCCCCGGGTTGCGGCGGTTCGACCAACCGTCCCCCGCGTCCCCCACTATTTGCCAAGCTCTGCCACCGACGTGGTAGACGACGACGTACGCCGACGAGGACGGTTCCGGGGGCTACCAACACACAGGGACAACCAGACGCAGACGCGAGAGAGAGCCTGAGGACAGTACGACTGGAACGTACCTCGGCGGCGCAAGCGGCACGAGTGGGGGATTTCTTCTTTTACCTCGCTCTGGGTTTGTCTTCTTTCGGCGAGTCTTGCGTTCTCTTTCCTGCCTGCCTCGGCTCGCGCACCTCCTCGTCCCACTCCACTTTTATATCTTTCACTCTTGTCTCTTATTCTCCCGCTATTTCTCTCGGCCGAGTCTCGACTCTTGCCTAGTCTACCTGCCCGAGCTCTTGTTTTTTTTTCCTTTTTCTTCTCGACTGTCTACGTTATTTCCGTCGTTACTTTTCGATCACGGCTCGTCCGCTTCGTTACGTCTGCATTATCTTACCCTCCCTTTCTCTCTCTCGTCCTTCGTCGATGACGATCTTTTCGAGCTTTGCTCGCGACTTTTCTCTCTTGTATCGTTTTCGCTTCTCCTCCTCCTCTTGTTTCCCCTTTCTTGATTTTTCCACTTGTCTTTCATTCCGGTTCCTGCTGGAGTCTTGTGCCATTCCCACTCTTCCCTCGTTCTTTCCTATCTTTCTGTCGCCTTTTCCGTTCTCCTCCTCTCTTCCCTCCCGCCTCCTGCCGCTATTCTCGTCTCCCGCTCCTTTTCTCTCCTCCTCCTCCCGCCACCCTGCGCGTTCTCCGGGTTCGCACTCTCTCGCGCGACCAGCCCTCTCTGCGTTGTTTCCTCCTTCGCTCGCTCCCGTCCGCCCTACTCTCTCGCTTTATCTCCTTCTTTCGTCATCCCCCTCTGCGTCGCACGCGCACACGTACGTACACTGGCCCGTGTCTCTGTCTCTCTCCCTCTCCTCCCTGTCCCTACGACGAAGAATGTCGCCAACGTTCGAATCGATCGCTCGCTTTCGCGCGCGCTGCCTCCCTTCTTCACCCTTCTGCCGTCCGCGAGCCCACCTCCTCCTCTTCCTCCTCCATCTGCCCCCCCCCTCTCACTCTCTCTCTTTCGCTACCTCCTCCACCTCCTTCTCCTCCTCCGCCGCCACCCTCTCTACTCTTCCCTCAGATCTCCTCTACCATATTCGCCATCAGCATTACACGCGCGCACTTATTTCTTCTGTAGGTAACTCCGCTTTCCTTGCGATCTCTCTCCTGCTCTAACACCCCCTTGCGCCTTCACCCACCCTTAGTCCACCTACCCCCTCTCCGCCGCGCGCTTCCACGTTTCCTCCGCCTCTCCATCCCCACCAACCGCGGCACATAGGATAGTCTACGCTCTCCGTAGCTCGACACGGTTAGGGTATGGGTGCTTAATATCTTTGTGCCATACCCAAGGCGCCCGTATCCGCCGACAGTTCCTGGAGGTGAACTTTGCCGCGATCGAGTGTCTCGATTCGCGGGACAGAGATGAAAATCGTAAGTGCACGTGCACGAGTAATTTTGCACAGGCGAATATAGCAAACAGAATGCTTAATCTCGCGGATATGTTGCTGATTAAAAAACTTTTCGGCGCGCGAGAAGGGACGGGGGCCGCGTATTCTTATTCACGTAACAAATAGTCCGACAGCGTGTCCGCTCGTCTTAAATTCGGAGGTCGGCAAATTTGGAGAAGACAAGTTTCACGATACATTGTGTACGTGTTTATTTCAATCGGGAGAAACGGTCGGCTCCGATCTTGTATCTTGAACGTATCTCCCTCGAGCTCCGCTCGAGCGGAGTGCGAAAAACATCGTCCGACAGGGAAGACCCGTAGCCGGTCTCCGATTATCTCGTCATAGACGCTTCGTGGCTGGTAGCGACAGGAGGGGAAAAGAGTCTAACATTCTCTTCTCTCTTTCGGCCGGTCAACCCCTCATCGTCCCTCATCGGCCCGGTGACCCAGATTCGCTCTAGGGAGACCCTTCGCGATGCAAGTATCGCCGTATGTGGTTATACCGATACGTCCGTGTGACCACACACATGTATGTGCGCGCGTATACACACACACCGTGCCCGCGCGTACAGATTCCACGGACCGTAGATACGTTTACTCGAAACAGCTGATCCCGCGACCGCGTAGAGCCCCAAACGAAGCGAAGACCCCACGCGGGTCTGTCCTCTTCATTGAGCGCGGGCGCATTAGCGAAAAGTCTGATCGGCCGTTCGCACGTCTGCAAATCCGGCCTACGTGCCGGCGTGTTAAATCCCACACTCGACACTCGTGCGAGTTTCATCTCCGCATTAATTGGCGCATCGCGACGCGCGAGCAGTAGCAATCGTAATTAATTATTCCGCGCGGAGGATTTCGCGCGTAGGAACGCTCGATGTTTCGCAAAGTCCGAATATGTATTACGATCAATACTTTATCGTAATTGCATTGCGTAATCGAGCTCGCGTAACCACGCGCGCATAACCATCCGGAAACGACCAAATAGATTCGCTACGTTGACTATGCTGGTAATCCGAAAAAAAAAAAATCCGCCAGCGGCGGCGAGATCTCGCGAAAGCGATATCCCTGACACGTCGAAACGCGATGCTGTGCGATGCATTGCATCGCGTTGCGTAATGCGTCTCTCGACGAATATCTAGCCCGAACAGCTCGTCTGGAACGGAATAAGAATCGTCCTTTGTCTTGCGAGGGCGATCGATCATGAGATCGATGTGCGCGCGGTCCGGACAAGTCGGGCTGTGGGGGGACCGATGTTTGCCGCGACCCAAACCACGTCCAATTAGTGGAATTAATACCGGCTGGCTTTGGGGGAGCTAATGCCTCTGTGTGCATACCTACGGGTATGCGCGCCGATGACTGCACTTTCCTTCGTGCGTAATGAAGGACAATCCCGTCGTCGAACCACCTCGATGCATTCGCTCGTGGAAGCTCGATCACCGCCTCCTCTTGTTCTGCGGTCACCGCAGAAATTCCGTAACTCTACAGACTGTGTGCGACGGTGCTCCACTGAATCGTTAAGAAACTTGGCCGACTAATTTCGCTCGTCGTCTATCGTTAGGGAGATAGGTAGGTTTACGCGAACGTAAAGCGAGTTATATTCGCGTTTCGCAACGTGCGGCGATCTTTGCCGATTGATAAATAAACAAAGCAAGTAACAGCGATGTACGTAACAATAGATCTCAATCCTATCCTATGTTACTTCATATTTTTCGGAAAGATAAAAAGGGGGCAATAAATCCTGCCGATCTATTCTTCGGAGCCCTGGACTATCGGAAATTTATTTCGGATATTCCGCTGGACGCATATCGCTTCTTTGCTCTCTACCCCTCTCTCTTTCTCTCCCTTATTCCCTCCCATCTATCCTCTCTCTCTCTCTCTCTCTATTTTTCGAAAGCCCCGGCGATCGCTTCTCTCGCTCGCGTTTGGCGCGAGGTTTGGCACGACGGGAAACGAGCGCCGGGCATTTTCAGACAGGCCACCGTGTGATACGCATTGTTCGTCCTGGACGTCGCCGCCGTCGCCACCGTAGTCCCTGTTACCGCTCGCTGCCCACCCCGTACAGATACGCGCTTAGCGCAACACGGTGTGTTTGCATCGTGCATAGCTGTTACGTAACCCTCGTCATTGTTTGCGCATCGTCGTTACACGCCTATATGGAGAAAGGGAGAGGGTGGCGGAGGTTTCGCCGTTGCGAGAAAGGGGCGGGTGGAAAAAAAGGAGCGAGCGAGCGGACGGACAGACGGACGGACAGATTTTTGTGCACGTCTCGCGCACAGGCGATACGCCGTTAGACGACCAGAGCCGGCAGGACTGCATCGGGAACAGCTCGATTGCTCAGCACGATGTTCACGCGGACTCGCGCGCGCGCGTGTTCACGTGTTATTTCCTCTTCTCTTCCTGTCTCTTACGCGGTTCGCGCCGCGTTTCATCGTCGAGTAATTCTCTCTCTGTACCGCGCGCTCGGCGGGTGAATATATCGATCGCTCGCGACGCTCTCGCCGGCGAATCGCGCGCGCTCACGCGAAATGCCAATTCTACCGTTTTAATTTTACATCCGCGCGGCTATTGGAATCACAATCGCAGAATCAATCGGTACCGGCCGTGGTGGTCAAATTTGTCCGTCCGCCGGGCGAGAACAACAAGCGAGCGATATGCAAACGAGCGAGTGTCGGCGAGTGGAGAGAGGAAGAGAGAGAGAGAGAGAAAGGGAGACAGAATACGAGCCAGCCGGAGAGTGGGATGGTTTACATTTTCCAGATTGAAATGTTAACCCAGTAGAAAGGTGGTCGGCGTGCGTGTGCATTACGGCCGATAACCCGATAACGCCGCGTCGGTGTATGCATCACGCCCTTACATCCAGCATCCCCGTTCTAGTCCGCAATGAAGCAATCACCGTCGATAAGCATTGTACAGGTCCGGCACAATGGACAAGACTTTCCAGCCGTCCGCGCACCTCCCTCTCCCCGGCCGGCCTCCCTTATCCGAGCTACTACCCGGCATAATCTTCTCTGATCGAATAGCCGTCCAAATTAAACAGGACCGCAGGCTCTTCATTTCTTTTCCATCGCTCGCCTTAACATTCTTTCCTCGTCGCGCGCGTATCAAGGTGTTGCTCTCGTGCGACTCGATGTCTGAAAATCTCTAACGATACTCTCCGCTCGACGAAGGTAAATATTTCAACTTTATTATAGATACAACCTTACTCTCTCTCTCTATCTCTTTCACGCGAGTTCTCTCCCCTTCTTTTCCCTCCTTTTTTCTAGAACGTTGACGACGCATTTCTGCATTGAAAA